TGGCGGGCAGAGGTGGCGGCGCGAGGGCATCCCCCCTCCGTTTCGGGGGAGAAGACCTGTAAAATGCTCTTGTTGGGAACTTGGGAAACTTTGTGTGTCGGTTGGGGCTGTGCGGGGCTTCTTTTGCCTGAAAAATAACAGAAGTAATCCAGGATTTTTTTTTTTTTTGTTATTTCGAATGCCTGAAGCAGAACTTAAGGAACACTGGGTTTGTGGGGGGTCTCGAGGAAAGGAAATGGTCTGAAAAGCTACCTAATTTAGCACTGATGTGTTTGAAATTCCATAATCTGACACTCTAACATCTACCTCGGTTTCAGTATTGTGGGAATAATAGTGTTTGTTGTAAAAGGGCTTTTGGGAGACTCTACTGCAGTGAAGAGGATTGAAGATAGGAAATGCCCCCCGTCCTGTTGGTTTTTGTGGCACTTTTGTTGTTGTTCTCCGTAGGCAGCTGCTTCATTCTTTACGGGTGGTCGCTGAGGCAGGTGTTGGGGGCAGCGTGGAAGCGCCAGCGGTTCGGGTTGCAGCCCCGCGCGTTTCCCTAGTCCTTCATCATTCAGCACGAAGGACCTGCCATCTCTCCATTAAATATATATGTATGTGTGTGTGTATAAATTTTGTTACCAACTATTCTGAGCATGCTACCAAAACATCTTTAGGGAGTAGAGCATTTGCTGACTGCTCTTTTTGGCTGTTTTATACAGAATTGAAAGTACACTCAAAATAATTCGTGGATTTATATTTAATGCTCGTTTTTTTCCAATACAGTAGAGTGCACTTCATTTTTCTGATTGCGAGTTTTGTTTTATTGGGAAAAAGAGTTGCTGTCTTGGTGACTGGTTGGTCATCCTGTGGGTTGACGGTCTCTCAGCCATGAAGAGGTGCCTGCAAGTGATGCAAGGTGGGAAGTTTAGCACCAAAGGCTGAATGGATCTATTGGAGGACTCTTACCCTTAAAAAATGACCGTGCTGCTCCACCTCCCGAGCTGGATAGTGTGGTGGATGTTATCTGGGCAAGAAGTCAGCTCTAAGGGGGCTTGTGTATTTGGTGGGGGGACTTCAAACTTTAGTGTTGTGCTTAGAAGAGGCCCCTTTTCCACACTTTGAGGCTTCATAGCCCTGACTGACCAGAGAAGTGCATTGTTTGGAGAAGAAATGTAAAGAATCGGGCTAATACTGTGCATAAAGTTTCTCTATATGTGTGTGACTGGTGCCAGTTAACCGCTTCCTCTTTAGGTATGGGCATCCTTTACTGGACTATAGGAGCTTGTTCACGGGGTTGCAGCTGGTTGGGTTTTTACAGCTTCACAAGTTACTGCTTGTTAGATGAATGTGGTGGTTTGGAGTGTGCTCATATCCACACCGTTGCAAACAAGAAGTACAAGGAGCTGAAAGTGTAGCAGTTAGACTGGTGTTTTTAGCTAAAGAAGCACTTACGGGTATTGTTTTTAAATATAAATATGAAAAAAAAAACATTTGGTTACTGTGAACTAGAATTCTTGATAGGTTTCTTAGCTGTTACAAACAGTGGGCCGAAGCAGCTGTTCCTAAAATATCAGAAAAACATGAACATGTTACTGAACTAATAACGTCCATGGTTTGCTCTTCCTGAGTGCAAGCAGTATAGGAGTATTTCATGGGTATAATAGCTATGCTCGCAGTGTAAATGCTAGGTTGTTTCTGCAGTCCTGTTCCTGTGTGTCCATACCAATTTGTAGGTAGTAGCTGTACGGAGCAGAAGGACCTGTTCAGGAGAGACTTGAGGCTCCTGCAGAGAAAAAACATGGATCATTGTTTCTACCTAACATCATCTCAAGAGCAAATGAGATAGTGAAAGGCTGTGGAGGATATTTGGCGTCTCCACCTTGCAGGTTAAATATAGCCTACTGGGTGTTGTTAGTGACGTGGTGCTCGTGGAAGAAAAAACAGGGATGTGGATGGGCAATGAATTTGGCCTCAAACTCACCTTGAAGTCACTGAAGCTACATCTAGACTGTGTGCAATTTTATCAGTGAGCTGCAGCCTGGGGAATGCTGGGCTGTGTAAGCTGCTCTCTCCGAGCTAGGGTGACATCCTTCAGAAACAAATAGATAAAAGCTAGCATTTTAAGATTTTTTTTGTGTGTGTGTATTTCTTTTTTTTAATTTTAGGCATCTAAACCTGTTCACAAGTGCCTGCATAATCTGATTTGAGAGAATATTATCTCATTCCAGAATTTGGGCGATTTACGGAATTAGGAGTGTGGTTGTGTAATTAAGTACGTAAGATCAAAAATTTTGGATATACCTCTATCTTGGATTAATAATTATGACCTTCTACAGAATACTCAGTTTTCCTGAGCATTTAGCCCTGGATCCTGGAAGTTCGTAAGGACCAACTTCAGAAAATGAATTTATTTGGGATGAGTCTTTCAAAAAGAAGCAGTGGTTCTTGATAGATGGTGTCTTAAAGACTTGTGTAAATTGTGTAAATATAGTAATGATGAACTTGGCCACAGAATGCTGCATTATTCAAATTACTGCGCAGATACGTAATGAGTTTACTCTCCTCAACCCAATCAAGTAGTTTGTGGTGGGGCGGAGGGAATTGGTTTTTGCAAGAGCTGGTCGGATTTGTTGGAGCAGATTCTTGCCTGTATATATCTTAAGCGCATGTGTGTATTTATGTATGTGTGTATTTATGTATGTGTATATATAAAATTCTGACCACTGATTTAATTGATTAGGATTTTTTTTCCCCCCTTTCATGTCATATGATTTTAGCCATCTTTGTAGCAATTGGTTTGGAGCTTTCTTATACTGGATCGTATTCTTGATCTCTAGGTTTAAAAATTGCCATGCTAGTGTTCTTTATTTTTTTTGGTCTACGGTCACCTTTTGCCATAAAACAAGCATGAAACCTAAAGACGTTTCTTCTCCATACGTTTTCTAGAGGACAGTTTTTTAGTCCCTGAATGTGGTGAAAATTGTACACTCCCTTAGTAGTTGGAGCGTGCTGCCCTTGGTTGCTGGGCAGTACGACATATATCATCTTTTATGTAGCTCGTACATTTTAGTCTGTCAGTGCTGCTTGTGCTAAGTGTTGTGAACAAAGATGGTTCTTGTCAGGTTCTGGGAGATTTTTGATCAGTTGGATGTAAATTTAGCTCATAATTGGGTTATTGTTCTGAAGTTTAATCTGCTGGTTGGGAGAATATAGCCTGCAAAATAAGTGGTTTGTAAAGAAGAAGTAATGATTCCATTTTGCAGGAATTTCTTAATAAGTTAACTCTTATTTTCCTAGAAAAAATGTTTTTAACTGCATATACAATTATTTAAAAGAAGCAAGCTCAATAGTAGTGAAAGTATGTTCTGCAATCTACACAAAATGCAAAGTGTGCAAAATATTTTTTTTAAATAAAAATCACATCCGTCTTTAAAAGGTCTAATATTTCTCCCCCCTGCCAAAACAAACAAACGAAATCCCAATATTCATTCCTGGCTGTAGTGCAGGTAACTGGAAGTTGATCGATGGCTACCAGCGAGGCTGTGCACGGTGTAATAAAGGCTGTGGCCTCTGTCCTGAGCGTGTGAACTCCTGCAGTGCCCACAGCTCTTTGATCTCAGAGGTTTATCTGCGTGCATTTCTGCAGGATCGGGGCTGTGTGAGGCCAGTTTTTCAGAATTTTCAGCTTTAGTCTTTTAGCATCATTTTATCATCTGTTTAAACCAATATCTGCCATTGAGTTAATAAGCAAGATTGAATTGTGGGTTTGGATGTATTATTTTTGTTCTTGACTAAACCGTGAATATTGAATTAGGTGAAGAATCTTTCTCCTTTTGTCTAGGTCTCACTCAAACAACAAGAAAAATATATGTAGTGGATTTTTAGCATTATTTTTGTTTAAAAAATAAATGCTCCATTCAGTTTGACTATAGTGTTCCATTAAATATATAAAGTCAAAGCATATATAGTTGTGCTTGATT